CAGAAAACAAATGTGTCCGTGTCCTGTGGACCTTGGAAATGCATTGATTTTTTTAAGATACAATTTTATGTGTGGAATGCACAGGTGTAATCATTTTGTAGTCCTGCATTAGAAGTTATTTATCATTTTTTAAGAGTAAACACAGTCAATTTGAGTGTTTTTTCACTGTGGTCCATCACTGCTGCTGTGAATAATAGAAGTGAAGTTTGTATCTAATTAATTGTTTTAACCAAACTCAAAGTATAAAACACGATTAGTTGTTTATTTGAAGCTTTACATGACTGTCTAACAAACGGGGTCACACATTCAACAAATTCAGATAAAAATACTTTTAAAAATAAATAATTCTCTCCTTGGTGTGTCTGCTTGAGTGATTTCTGATGATGATAATCTAGTCTGACTGACAAGAACCTGAGGGCAGCCGGCTGAGTGGAAACAAATGTTTACACACATTCCCAATTCTGGACGGATTCTTCTCAGATCACAGATTTGATTTAAAAAATAATTATTCAAGAACAATAGTGTTTATAATTTTACCTCTCATTCTTAGATTTGATCAGTTCTGAATTAATTTAACCCTTTAAAGCCTGATCCAAGAGAAAATAGAGTTTTTTTAAGTCTATATTTAGGTCTCTAACTAAATTATGAAATTTATTTTTTTTATATATTCATAATTTATTACCGTGGGTTAGTCCAAATTACTGTCATGTAGTCTTATGCCCGCTGTTGTCAGGTTTATGTAATCGTGTACAACAGGGTTTTGTGCAAAGTTTTTATCATTAAATGATGCAAAAGGTCTCAGATACAGAACATATGTATCAAATATGATATATATGACATTATTGGGTCAAAAGCCAAGCAATTTCCTTATCTGACACAAGTGTCCGTTAGAATTAAAGCCTTGGATCTTAATTCAACACATTAACTTGATCTTGAATAAAGCTCAGATTACATTTTATAAGCAAATGGAATTATCCTTTCTTTAACCCTCCTGGTTCTAAACATCCTCAAAATCCTATTATATCCAGTCACCCAAGAAAAGAAAAGAAAAGAAAAGAAAAGAAAAGAGAAGAATATCTTTTGCATAATTCATCATCATTCACTGTTATAAAACTGAAAGGAGCCACTGAATCTTTCATGATTGTTTGATGTGTTTTCACTTTATCAGGTTAACATTAAAAGGACAGGGTTCTGTATGCAAAGGCAGGAAAAAAACCTAAACATGTAGGTGTTTCATAGTGGCTCAAAAGGATGCGCCCGCTTTTTTTTTGTTTTACTCAAAAGTATCTGCATGATGTTTCCACATTAATTATTATTAATTATGCCGACAAGCCTCGCTTCAAAGACACTTGATTAGGTTTAGTTCTCGGGCAGATATCAAGTGCTCAGATAAGCAGACATGAAAGCAACAGATGTTTGTTAGATCTTAACTCTAGAGAAAAGAGAGATATTTAAGATTATGGTGTGATTAATTCATCACTGACTTTAAAGAAAATCTGAGCAGCACTCAAAATTTAAAACTTTATCTCAATAGGTTTGGTTCTATTGGTGTTCTTTTCAATCCAGTCCGTGTACATGACCATTTTCAATAAAGTATTTTGTTTTATGAAGCACTTGAGTCAATTAAGCATAAAAAGAAACCCAACTCCAGGGATGAACTTGTGTTGTGTTTACAAAAAAAAAGGGAATTTAGCATTTAATCAATTTTATATAATCTAATCATCCACCCAACTCAAGGATCTTTAGACTCTTTGCTTGACACTCTTTGCATTTACCAGCTCCTTCAGAGGCAAATGACACAGTTTGCCGAGGATAAAATTGTATTTTCTGCCATAAATAAGTGGCAAGCCTTAGATTTTTGGTGAGCACTTTAGAAATAAGAAAAAAAATGGATGAGTGCATGTCAGAAAAAGAACTGATTCTTTAAGAAAACATCTTACGACAATAAAAGCTAAATTCAACCATTGAAATTCTGTCACACAACCTGAGAAATGCATTGTTCTGTCTGTTACCGGGGCAACGCCTCATCAGGAATAATCTCCATGGAGAGGTAGCTGTCAAGAAGAAAAGCGAACTGGGAAAATGGGATGAGCTTTGCAAAACCACCCAAGAACCGTCAGTCTATGGGATGTTGTTTCTCTTCTTCCAGGTCCGATAAACCATCCTATTCCTGTTTTCTGTTCCTGCAGTTCCAGGTCAAAGGTCAAGTCCTATTCCTGGCACGGTTAGTTTGCCCGTTCACCTCAGTGAACAATCAGCTCTGGAAAAGACCCGGCCTCTCAGGTTCAGTGGACCCGAGTTCGTTCTCGTTACGGATTGCCTTTGTCTGCCTTTCAGGAAGTCAGCCAACCCAAACCACTCAGCCCAATATCTGGCACCGTCAAAATGGAAGTCACTCTAAAGCTCAATCAATCAATTTAGCAGTCACTAGACTCCTCGTAGAGATTAATTTATCTCTGAACGCGCGCCACAGTACCTCCCAGGAAGAGTTCTTTCTGTCTTTTAATTCTCTTTTTTTTGTTTTTATTTCATTGGCAGCATTAATGTAAAATTTTGCACACTTTTCTGGATCTTTTTCTGGATCTTTCCTGTAGAAAAATCTTCACATGAAGTGAAAAGTCCAGAGAAGAGCTCTGGAATATCCTCTAAAAAGTCTGCAGAATGGTACCTGAAGACTTTTCAATAAATGCAGCCTGAATGTAGCCTGCGTAGGGGTCAAGTCAACAATCAAATATGGATTTTTACCACGTTTTTCTTCTGTTTTACCGACAGTGTATAAAGAAATAATGGATGTATGACGACTTATACACAAATAACCTACCATGCAACCATCCTCACCCATTTGTTTACACTTATACTCCTTCGCATTGTACAAAAAACCAACAAAATAGTTGTTGAATAGTGAATTCCATGTTGTTTTTTTTAAAGAAAACAAATTAAACCTCGTTTAGTCTGAAATCAGTTTATGGGATCTGAAACATAACATTTATGTGAAGAAGACTGCCACAAATAACTTTATCTTTACCCAGCTTCTTAACACAGATGTTAAAACTTCCATATTTGCAATAACTTAGTTTTGTCTATAACATGAACAGTGGATTGAGGCACTCACTTTGACATTCCGGAACCATCCGGGAGGCTGAAACGGTGAGTTTCCATCCATACGCGTGGTTCTAAAGGGCTGTAATGGGAAACCTGTCCAGCAGAGGGCAGTGTGAGAACATCTGGAAAAAGAAGACAGCATCAACAGGAAGTGTTATTCTCATTATTCAAAGCACATTGCTGCTCCGGTTGTATTTCACGTGTCCCCTGTTTTTGTGTGCTACCATGTCTGACCCCTCCACTCATCAAAGGGATCAACAGGAACTGTGGTCAGCATCTTTCGAGAGCACTGAATAATTCACCTGGACCACATGGGAAGAGGCCAGCAGAGGCTATCAGAAAAGAGTCAAAGCCTGTAGGGCCATACCATATGATATATGTACCTTAGAGTAGGTACTTTTTAATTATTTTTGAAGAAAGAAAAAAAAGATTTCAAAGATTTCCGTCAATTCTCTTTACCTATTAATCAAAGGGTGGGCTGCTGGACCCTAGTCCTGGCCCTAACCCGGATGTGGGGTAGTCCCTGGACAGGTTTTTAGTCCATCCCAACACCAACAGACTTCAGAGGCTGCCAGCTCTCAATCTGTGAATCACAATTAGTTAAATGTTTAACCTAAATGTGCTCGTTCGATGTTAATTTTCATCCGGATCCCGCCAGAGTTTCGTGTTTCAAACTTGCTTACTTGTTATCTTTTGTCAAAATGTTGACGGCAGACTGTCCAGTGTCTCTAAATGAAAGAAACTATTTCTGTTAAACTTCTAATGTATTTGTATTAAGACTTATAGAATCAAATTTAATGCCAAATAATAATGGAAATAGCTCTTAGTCTTTAGTTTTCTACTCTCTGCTGAATTCTCCTCATAAATTGTGCGATTAATTTTCAAAGGAAATGCAAAGGATAGACTTTAAGTTGTACTTTATTTTTTATAGGTTTCATCACAAAAAAGCTGTCTCAATGTAAGAGTATAGAAAGCATATGCCATTTGTATCGTAGCTGCCTCCAAAAATCTGATGTGCACTCAAACTAATGTATGTTCATTCGATCTGACGCAGGTGAAGGAATAAAAAAAAAAGAAGATTAAACAAAAATGACAGCTTTTACAAATATGTAAATAACAGTGACCACGTGAAGTCGGATAAATACAAACAAAATACGACAGCACAGAAAAAAATAAAGGTTCTGTGCAGTTTTTTGCAATTTGACTATTGAAAATGTCAAAGTTCTTTTAAGCAAAGTCCACTTGACAAGTCATTAAAATACATTTCCTCTTCATGAAGAGTAAAAGAGATATAATGCAGATTTTGAGAATTATTTGATAAAAATAGTTGCCTTATGGGACTAAAAATGGCCGACGCTATTAGCAAAAATACGTTGCCGTTAGACCATAAACGGGACCGGCGAGTAGCAGAAGTTCACCTGAATCGTCCTCAAGTCCAAAACTTTGAAACAGAAAACGGGTTCTAGCCACAGTTTTGTGTCCCGACTCCAAGAAGTGACGTCTTCCCACTTCCCCGAGCAAGTAGAAGCAGGAAGTGATCTTCTACATTGCAGGTTACGAAAAAAAAACCCACAGAAAAAAGCAGCGCGTGGAGAAAGCATGACATTAGAAGAACTTGAAATACCAAAAAATGTATATATCCAACCCTAAGAGCTTCTATCAAACAACTGTACAGAAATATATATCAAAGGAAAAGTCCATGAGAGGTTTCCACCATCGTCCAAAGACATCTGAAGTATCTCTGCTGGACGTCTGACGCCGAGAAGCCGAAGGATTTCCATGAAGAGTTGGGATTTTTTTTCTAAACTCCGATTCCCTGTTTGCTTCCTGTTTCTACACGGCGTCCAGTGATTCTCCCTGGCGAGGGGACGGACTTGCGGGACCCCCGGGCGCGGCGCTCAGCTGGTGGTCAGGTCCGGTTTCGGGGGCGGCTCCAGGCTCTCGGCGGTTTCCCCCAACTCATCCAGTAACTCTGCGAAGGCCGGCCGGCGGAAGGACTCCATCTTAGGTCGGGAGAGAGGAAAAGAGGGCGTAGAGATTTGGCCGTCAACAGATTGGATCCCGTTGTGAGTTGTGTGGTTGTAATTAGTATTTCTATAAGCGTGGGAATGCGTTGTTTCCACGTAAGTCCACAACTGTTGACGGACACTATTATGAAAACCAGGAATTAGCCGAGTTGGACTTTGTGTGAGATTAACTCATTGGCTGCCCAAGACGTCTATAGACGTTTTTTATGTTTTTCAACGAGAGTGGCTGGGGGACGATCTGCTAAAGCTTGTCCGTAAATATCGGGCTTCTAGACAGAGTATGTAGTAACAAATTGACCCTCTAGGGGGCAGTGCCACTTTTGATGGGAGATGAGCATAGACTGTAGGCAAATAAGAAAAAGGTAACGGTTCGCTATGAGAGAACATGTCGCTGGTGAGACGCAAGTCCAGGAAGAACGGAATAAGGTAGAAACAAATTTATTTTTCCTGTTGAAAGAAGAGAGTCTACTCTTTCTTTTGGTGTGTTCGGTGTTTACATAGTCATAGCACAAACTATTCTGTGGCTCTTGAAAAATCAGTTATAATGCTAAAAAAACTGGCAGTCAATGAGTTAACCAGGAATATTTCAAATTAACGGTCGTAGGTTGAGCCTGAAAAGTCTTTTTTGTCTGGCACAATCACACTAGTATTTAGGGCGAATTTCAAATTAAGAGTCCAAAAAACTGGTAGAAAATTACAAAAGCCAAACCATATAATACTTAAATGACTGACTCCTATATTTAAAGTTATTCGAAAAGCTAATTAATTCATCTCAAGTTGTTCCCTTTTTTTTTTTGTTATTTCACTTTATGGATCAAATGTGATATCACAGTTTGTGCTCATCACAGTAGACCTCTGTGCTCATCAATTAAATAAGTGGTTTAAACGTGTGTTTATAGATCACCACAATTCTGGGATTCAATTGGTGTGGATTGGTGTTTTGTTTTATGATCACACCCTGATTTGCAGCTTATTAAACTCAGACTCCAGGGGGCCTAACTCTTGACACAAAGATCTAAAAATTGAAAAAAAGAAGCTACAAACATGCATTTAAAAAATGAGGTTTCACCATCCTTAGATTAAGTTTACTCTAAGAACATCCTTCACCTTTAAACATGAGCATATGGATGAGCTTTGCATTTCAAACACACCCTAACTTAAAGAAAAAAAAAGGAAATAGATGCATGCGATTAAATTAGGTGAAATGAATCATGATAAAGGCACACAATTATTGTTTGTGAATTCCAAAAGGCTGTATCAGGATATAGTGAGGATTGTGTGACAACCACTATAGTGCATTAGATGTAATTTAAGTTAATATTTATTACCTATAAATATGTTATATGTAGATAACTTTACTAGGAATAAGAGGGTATAACAAATGGATGGAAAGAAGATAGATTATTATTAGTGTGACACACTGATTGATTTATTTATTTATTTTTTTCTTATTCTTTCTGATTGATTTTTACTGTTTATTCTTTTTCCCCCTATGCTCTCTCTGTTTTTTAGAATCATTCTAATTTATCTCTGTTTTTAGTGTTTTCTGGTCCCGTTATGTTGTTGTGCTATATAAATATGTATACGATATGGTATCATTATATGACAAAGCATCCATTTCTGTCCAGTCTTTCATGTCTGAGGTTTAGAAATATAATTAAAGCTCAGAAATATATGTATCTCTACTTTATGAACAGATATGTTTTCTTTCTTACGTACCATGCAGCAGCTGGCCGCCAGGTCCAGCAGACGCTGGGGGCAGTCGGTCACCATCTCCCTGAAGGCCTTCACGTCCAACCCGTAGTCCTTAAATGCATCATTTCTTTTACTTTCACTTTACTAGGGACTCACGATCTTAACAAGACACACTGAATATGTCAGCACAACTCTGATTTCTAGAAAAATATGCAGCTAATGACCGGGTTTCTAGCTCTGGTTCTACCTGGGTTCTGGGGAGGATTTCTGGGTCGGCTGGGATCCGGGCCAAGATTTCACAGAGTACGATGCCAAAGGAAAAAACATCCACCTACGAGGAGAGAGAAGCAAATTGAACGGAGAAAAAACAAAGAACACTGGAGGCTATGCGTCTAAGACTTAGTCAGGGCTGAAAGATTATGAATGTTATTTTAAATTAAAAGCGGTTGGTTTTTATAGAGATATTTACAACCTTCCAAAGATTCTTTAGACCACAGACGTTAATATCTGCCTAGAAATGAGGTTTCATGATTCTAATTACCTCATTTCTTCACCCAGAAAAATCACAAATGGCCGATACTGGTCACACTCTGATCAATCTCCGATTAACCAGTTGTCTAAAAAATTGTTTACATAGTCTTCAAATTATACCAACTTTTGTAATGGAACCCGTTTTGACTTTCAGTCACATAAAAACTCACCAGAGATTCAATTGAAGTGAGGATTCAGTTAAATCGGTTGGTTTTCTTTGCTAGGAAACTTTTTTATTGTGTAAGTAAATATCATTTAAGTAGTTTACTGGAATTGAATAGTCTATTATTGTATTAAAATAAAATAAATACTAATTGGATTGAATAAAAAGGTAACTGATTGAATTGAATTACATCTTCAGCCCATGTAACATGCTAGTAGGGTCATGACTCATGAGACAATCAAAATCTTTTACCATTTCCCAAGTGTTTACACTGGGAACACATTTTATGCCCCAAATAACGGAGGACCAGTCATAGCTGTTACCTTCCGGTCGTAGGGTTCTCCCCGGAGCATCTCGGGGGCCATCCAGAAGGCCGAGCCCACCAGGGACAGCTTTCTGCCCGGGTCTTTGACCGGCAGCTCCACCACCTCCCGGGCCAGGCCGAAGTCCGTCACCAGGGCCTCCCGACCCCGGGCCGAGACCCGGATCAGGCAGTTCTGCAGAGAGGATGACATTTGGTCAATACTGTGTATAATCCTTATTGCTTTTCATTCAAAATGATGCAATATCTACACGTCCACACTATGTATCCTGGTGTTTCTTGGCTTAGTCTCTTCATTCGCCAAAAGATTAAATGTCAGCACCTTTTTTGCGCACTAAATAATTCACGTAGACCCCATGTGAAGAACCCCCCCCCGGTTTGAGTGTGTGCTACAGAAAAGTCGGCATGGCTCGTACCAGAATCCGTTACAATTAATACAAAAAAATACACAACAGAACAGAAAATAAGAAAAAACCCTGGTTATATTCACAGGCTGAAAGCAGGAGGTGTGAGAATCAGCAAGCGTGGGGGGGGGGGGGCGCTCAGATGTAGTTACATAACAGCAGTGGGTGGCCTCAAATGTGTGTGTGTGTCTGTGTGTGTAATTGCAGCTTCATATGCTGATGCTTGTTTATGAGCACAGTTGCATTTCTGTCGATTTGTGTGTTTTTTTGTGTGTGTACGTGTGTGTGTGTGTGTGTGTGTGTGTGCCGAAGTCATGGCAGTCTGGCTCTTCTTTTTTCCATACCCCTAAATCTTTTCCATCCAATAACCTGTCATTAAGAGGCTACCATGGGGGAAGAAAAAAAACTCACTTTCAGTCTTTAACTCCATTTCTCTGCCCAGAGAGGCAACAGTTAGGGAAACAAAAAATGGAGAGAGTTCTGGAAAGAACAAAGATGAAAGGAAACAAAAAATCCAATAAAAGGGCTTCCACTGTGACACTGTGCAGAGTGCGCATGAATCCAAACAACCTTTTGTGAGTACAAAAACATCAGTGATATAATCGTCACATCGGAATCTGATTGGATACAGATTGTACAGGTTCTTTCAGATAACTTTATATTTAATGCCTCATACTCTGAATAGGTTGATTAAATGACCACTGTCGTATGATTTTGCTGAAAAAGTGGAACTCGGAAAACCAGAAGTGAGGAATGAAAAACACTATTTTTATTGATGCCAACCAAAGGGGTTCAAGAAAGAGAAAGAGAAACAATCACAGGTTTGGTTACTATGAATTGTGTCTATATTCTAAGTGACTAATTCCCTTTGGAACTTTAAATGTTTTACTGTCAGAAAGAATTCAAATAAGTTCAATAAGAGTTTCTTCAAAAATAGTTTGTTCCATAGCTAAACTGAATGTTAAACTACAAAACACATGTGATATAAAACATTTTTGTCCAGATTTTCCATCCCACTGCTGCAAGAGTACACAAGTTTCGCTGCACTTCAATAATTTTTCCCAAATTCTGTTTTGTACATCATGATTTATTGTGCTTGATTTGTTTAAATCTTTTCTTTCTTTTTATTTTTTTTTAACTTTAAAGTACCGTCTTTCCTGGGTAGCAGCTGTAACAACCCATTTTCTTCACCAATGAGGATGATGATATTATTATTATCATTATGATTATTATAATTATAATTATTAAAATCCCCATTTCATAAAGCAACTCAACGTTGTTTTAATGGGTTTTAAAACTACCATCACTGTTCATATGTGGATGCAGAAACGATGATGAAATTTAGATGGAATACTATTTAAATTTAAAACAATACCTTTACTAAAAGTTATCTGAAAGGACGGAAAACGGTTTGATGGTAGATTCTTCTGAAGGCAATCCAAAAAAAAATCGCATTGTACTGTACTTTCTTTATTTTATTGTTCTGACACATCACAGGAGTCTTGTTTTTGGGCGAGTAAACTATTCCAATGCCGTTTTTAACATAATAATATGCCTGCAGATTTGTTTGCAGATTGTTTTGTTTTAAAAAAAATGATTACTGATTATGTATTTGCCCTTAAAGAGCAATGCAAATCAACCATTCTCTGCGTAATTGGGGAGAATTTGAAGTGCGAGCGGGTTCTGTGTGCAGCAACAGCTCTCGGTTAACAAGAATCCATTAACATGACAATAGGGACTGCCACGATGTTCCTTTGCATTACTGGCTGCTTGTTTCGGGGAGGCCTGGTAACCAGAGGCAAAACAGCACCCACGCACCAGCACACCCACGCTTTTCCAGACTCATGCTGCACGACTGTCACCGAGGACAAAAAAAGAGGGATTTTTCTGTACGCAAAGTCACTGTATGAAAGACGTGTTGAGTGTTTGGCCATTTAAAGGGGAAAAAAGAATCAAAATGAGATTTTCTATTCAGTAAAAAATACAATAGGAAAATTGAGCATGTAAGTTGAATAATAAACTCTGATAGGAGCTACTGCTGACACCAAAACAACAGAAACCGAATGGTGAGATTACTATAAGATTAGGATAACATATAAAGACAAAACAGGAACAATCAAAATAAAAGGTACTACAACTAAGAGTAGGTCTGTAAGAATCCCTGAGCAGAGATTCAACATGAAGTTAGGAAAATGTCTATTCTGGAGAGCTAATTTTGTTCCAAATTGTTCTAGTTTTGTAGCAACCAAATTTCCAACAAGTGAATTGATTTTGTCAACAAATCAAAACATACAAAGAAGGATTTAAGCACAATATACCCCAACTGAACGGGCTCTGGAACGTTTTGTAAACAGCAATATGCAAAAAGCCCAAAACTCAAAGAATGGATGAACTGAATGAAGACGGGTTCGATAAATAAAAGCCACCAAGCAAGCTATACAACACGTCCAGGGAAAACCCACAAAGCTTTAAAGCTGTGCCCATAAAATGGTCATTTACATCCTCAAAAGTCAAACACACCAACCCACAGCATGAGTGGCTGCGGTCAGCTTCAAAGGGAACCGTTTTCCCTGTGGCCATCCAGACTGAAACAAAACCAAAACCAAACTGATTCTGATGAATGCGACAAACAAACGAAAACCGGTAAATGAAAAATGCCTTCTCTTTATGAACTAGCTGTGTTTCAGGGGAAGTCCAGTCTTGGCCAAGAGCACCAACGGAGGTTTTATTCTTAACAGTAAGCCTAAATATGCTTCAATCACAGTCGATCGGTCACTATCGGTCATTCCGGACAGGCTCAGGACCCCAGTCTGACCTGTAACTCCAGCATTTTGAAAAACAATGTCGTTAATAATCAAATAATCAGGCCTCGGTGCCTCTGATACATCCCACTACCCGTGGGACGGAACGCCAGCCAGATCAACAAAAGGTTGGGCTCACTCAAAAACGCTGACTCAGCTTTGCCCTGCGGCTCCGTTTTCGCCACACCGCGGGGTTCCGGCCCTCCCGACGCCAGCGAAGTGCTTCACCGGGTAACGAAACACCCGGAAGAAGGCGACTGGCTGGGAAATGCGCCCGGCAACTCCTGCTGATTCGTAGCCGTGCGTTCAGTGTTCTTACGCCTTAACAATAACCAGCTAACAACTATGGACGATCGCCAATGGGAGGAATGGAATGCCAGTAAGCTGGTTGTGGATTGTGTGTGTGGGGTCGCAATAACCTGAACTTTAGAGCTATGCTGTAAATCCATCTGAATAATTTCCCCTTTAAACCTTTTAAACTTTTCATATTTTTTGCAAACTATGTAAAACGGGCATTTTTACCTTAGAGTTGAGATCTCTGTGGTAGATGTTCTTGTAGTGCAGGTAGATCATTCCTCTGCTTATGTCGCAAGCCAGGTCCACTTTTTCTCTCCAACCCAGAGGAACGTCTTTCCTGGCCAGAAGCTCCTCCAGGCAACCTCCATTTACATACTGAAACAGGCAGTAAGAAGGCAGGTTATATAAACAGATTCATCACCAGAGAACAATCATCGATGTAGTCATCATCATTGTGTTCATAAGACTTCATATTTTTGAATCATGAATAACTGCGTGACTGTATTCCTTACAAACGTCAATCATTTTTAAATATATTTCTGATTAAAAGCACATCAAACACCAATATCTACCCATTCATTGTCCAAGCCGCTTTGGGCCTAGAACCTATCAGGAACTGCGATACACCCATAACAGATGGCCACTCCATCACACGGCCAAACATAGAGGAACAACCACATCACTCACATTCACTCCTAGAGTATTTATTAGAGTGTTCAGGTTTTTAGATGCTAGGAGGAAGCTGGAGTTCAATACCGATATACAAGATACGAATCGTGCATATCATTTAACTGTGTGAGGAGTATTTTTAAAAAGGGGGTGAAATAATGTGGTTGGATTGCATAGGGAGGTGAGAGGTGTTTAAGCTCAGTGGATAAGAAAGCTTATATTCAGGCAACCAACACCAACATAGCAGCAATTTTCGTAATTGGGATCAGACATTGAGAAGTAGAAACCAATACGTGGCAGAAAACATCAAATATCTTCTCAGAGTTAATCAAAAGTGGAAAAAAAAGTGTTTTTTTCCCAGTTCTTTCTTTACAGTGGATCAGATCTTTGCCTTTGTAGAGGTGCTGAGGGGATATTTGGGAGTCCGACCACCAGTCTACAGGCATTTTGGAGACTTGGGAAAAGCTTACAACCATGTTTCACTGGCTATTCTTTAGGGATTGCTGGGGGTACCAGAATCCCTTTCCCAAGATGCTGGTCCCAAGTACAAGTACTGAAGTTGTACCCTCATGAGTGGAACCTGTTTCCTATTGGTGTGTGATTCTGCCAGAGCTGTTTTTATCATCAATCCCGTGAGCCTGTTATTTCCATGGACAGAATCTCAAGGTTCAGTCATGGACTAAAGGGTATATGGTTTACGAACTTCAGGATTGCATTTGTGTTTTTCATAAATGACGTGGTTCTGTTGGCTTCTTCAGGCTTAGACCGCCCACACTGGAGCAGAAGAAAAAACTGGACGGCTTTCTCCAGGTAAGGAATGAGTTCCCGCCACATGTTTTAAGCATCTGGATGGCTTGTTCACGGGTTATGGAAGGACGAAGCGGGTTTTGGGTTTGTCAGCTGTAATGATGGCGTCACTTGGTCAGAACACGGAGCTGAGCCAGACGCCAAAGCCCTAACATGATGTTTTATTGGGAGAAAAATATAAAATTCCATTATTATACCGGGAAACTGATCAAAACCCAGTTCTCTGATGATGCCATGACTAACCCGATGCCAGCCTGACTGAATTTACTCGAGCTTTCATTGTCACGCTGACTGTTTGTGGACGTAATGCGTGGTATTTTCCACACTCAGAACAGAGACAGACGGTGAGAACACACGGTAGCACTGACTCACAAAAGGCAAAACACAAGAACAAAGAGAAGACTCACCTCTAAAATTGGATAGAGTTTATCTTCTTTCACACAGATGCCCAGATACCTAGTATAAGAGAAGGGATTGTTAATTCAATTATCAATAAATCCAGTTGTGTATTTAGTCATCTTTTGAATTCCCTGAAGGTACGGAGCATGAACACAACACGACAGATGTGTTATGGCTTTTTGTGATAACAATGTTAATCTTGCAATGCTATTGTTGGCTAAGAGTTTAAAGACCTCTGGCCCACCCTCAAAGCGGCACATGACAAAAGACAACACAAGAAAACTGATTCTGACCAAAGCTTAAATGTTTGTTTTAGTAATAGTAATTTCTTACAGAAACTGGTCTAAATTCTTTAATTAAACCCAGTTCATTCATATACTTATAATATACAACTAAAGTAAGCTCAGGTGACTATAAAGACAAGATAAACTACTTCATAGAAACCCAATAAGATTCAGTTCACATATAGTCCGGTTTAATCCAAGACATTGTCAAATCAGAAACCGATTCAATCCAAGTTTTTGCAGTTCAAAGAAAAACGACGCATCACAAATTATTCACATTATATTCACATTTTGTTCAGATTCATTCTACGTTACAGGCTGATGGTGCATCCATTTACAAATGAACATAAATCACTACTTGTCTTAACCAGTCATAGGCATATCCCTTTTGTCCACTTCTCAGTACTGGAAGTCAAAGATAGTCCTGAAAGTCCGTCAAATTGCCATTGATGGTTCTGATAGGCACTGCAGTCTCACACACAAAAAAACTATGTTTATCTGGATTTAGTTGGGAAAACAGGTGAGAGACTGCACTGTTCCACTTTAATAAATCATGTCCTAGGTACTGTAGTTTTGGAAAGTATGTTACTTGCTTATAGAATTGAAGAGGAATGCTAAAAAAATTCAAGAAATATCCAAGGTGTTATTAAAACTGAAAGCTAGCCATGAGCTATAGAGAAAGAAAAGTGCTCAGCCAAAAAAAAGAAACCTTAATGATTATAACTGGGGCTTGCTTAAATGTTAAAAACCAATAACACAACTCGTCTCACTGTGTCATTGTTAAAAACAAGAAAATGTCCCCTTGAATCCACATTTTACAGAAATTTACTAAAATACTTGAATAAAATGGAATTGTTTTACACTTAACTGTGTTAATATGTATATTAGAAGAGTGTTCTTCTGTCACTTATTATAGCTGTTCTGTAGCTGTTGTAGCCATAACTACTGTTTACAGAATCCTGGCTCAGAAGCTGTGATGTAGGCTGAAAAGTGAGATATGTGACAGCAGATGGAGACTGTCTAGACACAGAGGAGAGACTGGAGGGCTCTGGAAGGGGAAACGCTCGTGTATTTTTATTTGCTTTTTCCCAGGGTCGGCTTTATCCGACAGAAATCCGAATAAGAAAACGGAGCGGCCCGTGGCATCACCTGACGATGTTCGGGTGGGAGAGCTTCTGCAGTAGGCTGATCTCTCGGACGATGCTGTCCTGGTCCACGTCGTTTTTGTAGATCTTCACCACCATCACCTTCCGAGTGGTGTTCTGCGTCACCTGAGGGGCAGTGGGGCTCTTTAGAGGAAACGATAGCAGCGTGGTTTTCCCCTAAACTACGCACTAGCAGTTTCTGACACGTGGACCTGAGTGTGGGCTGGTTGTTGCACCAGCTATGCCTGATCCAGTTTGCTCAAAGATATAAAAACCTGAGCTAAAGTACATGGTAACTTGGTAACAGTTGCTATTCTTAATGGTTTTGACAAGAATCCTTACATATTAACAGAGATATTTCATTTTTAAAGAGGGATTTCGTGAATTGTGAGTAGTCAATGCCATACATTTAGCAAAAAGTAGCCCTCACTTTGGAGCATCTGGAGGATTCTAGCTGGTTTCAGCAGAAATTTAAAGGGCGAAAAGTCGAGTACTTTTCCCCACAATGCAAAACAGCAAAATCCCAAAAGATCTATATCGTTGTAAGAGTTTAAGAGCTTTATTTTCTATTTGACAGTTTGTTTGTTTTTTGCATAACATATTTTATGAGCTGTGTCTGTGGTCCACATTACCACACGGTCCTGATATTGTTGAGAAAAACATAATGTGTTCCCACCCACAATTTCTCTGGTTAAAAATCCTCAGTGTCATTTTGTTTTATTAATCGCTGTGTTGTTTTATATGGCAAATAAAACCTATTATCGTAACCTACTGTGAAGCTTTTAGATTAATTGCAATAGCAATTAATTTAATCATAAAAAATGAGCCTTTTAACTCATATCTACTGCACGTAAGAGCGTAAACATTAACCATGATCACAAGTATAACACCTAACTCCAACCTCAATTTCTTACATCATACATAGGTTTATAAAAAAATAAAAAAAGCAAAACTTTTGTTCTCTAAGTTAATTAAACTTCACAAAAATCTGTCTTCTTCAATCTAGTTCAACCTGACCACAACAAAGCTCTGACTTTCCAATCACTTTCCCACCCTGTGGCCCCTTTCCAGCCCATTTACTCTGGGACAAAGCCCCAATCTATGACATTTTGCTCTTCCTGCTGATTTGCCACAGCATCGGTGTTACACTGAGAATTACGTAAGGTGGGTGACTATCGCTGCCCCCACAATTTCCAAAGCTCGTGGGCTAATCACAGAATGGCAGGAATGTCCCAATTAGAGGCTGGAACAAAGCTCTCTTTGACGGCGGGCTCACATGTAGGCAAGAAAATGTGCAAATCGCAGAGTGGGTGGTGCAGAATAAATACCTTATAGACTTTGGAGAAGAAGCCACTCCCCACCAGCTCGGCGCTGAAGTTTTCCCAGAATTCCAGCTTGCGCACGGCCGTGCGGAGCTTCTGCCAGCGGTCAACATGGTAGTACTGGTCCGAGGACTCGCCGTACAGGGTGGGACTGGTGGGCTCCGGGGACACGTCCACATCACACATTCTGGAGATGTCGGCTGGGAGAGGAGAAGGAAAGGACTTTACTGTAATCTGGAACTGAAGAAGCATTTGTCCTACGTTTGATGGTGTGCTACGTGCCCGTAAAGTTTCAAAACTAGAGCCTGGGTGGCTTTGAAAAAACCTGTTGATGTAGTGGTGTCCCTCTGCCTGGGAACAGGCATATACTTAATCACCAGAACCTGCAAAATGACCTTAAAAAGAAGGATATATTTCATATATATATTTAAAAAGTGTAATTATGGGACTAGTTTGTTTTGTTTCTAGTCTTGATAGGTTTTGTTTTGTGTAGCTTTAAGCAGATTTTTCTGAAACAGGTCAATATTACTTTTAACAAAACATAGATTCTTGATATAAACTTGAAATATGTCACTTTTTAATCACTAAAATATACATTAACTCGCATACATGTAGATTTTTCTGTATCTAAACTGAAGTAAAGCAGCCCCCAAAAATGTGTTAAAACTATCTTTACTTAGATCTTTTCTTCTAAACTATCATTTTGTCAATTTAAATTATTCAATGTACCAAATGCACTAATTTTGTTTATAATTTAATGCCAATCAGATCGAGACGTAACACACAGTAAAGTTTAAGAAAGTTGGCTCATATCATGAGCCAGCTTCTCTCAATACAGATTAAACAAAGAATGCACCAACCAAGATTTTAAATTACCAGGAAAATATCAATTTTGTCTGTTTTTATATTTAAACATTAGTCCAAAACGTCTTTAAATGCTTTCTCTGAGCATCACTGCCAAACTGATCAGGCCCAATACAGAAGGTTGTGCGGTGAGCAAAAGGGCAATTTATGCTTTTAAGAGCATGAAAGCGAGCGTGGATGAAAGAGAAGCTTACAAAAGGCCTCATTTCACTGCCCCACTTATTAGCAGCCTGGATGAGGGGAAAGTGCTGCTACTTTACGAGGCAAAACAAAAAATGCTGAATAATGCCAGGCTTAAAATAGACGAGGCCGGACAGCAAAAGCAACCTGTGCGTCTGTCGAGGGGGTTTGTCCTCAGGAGATATTGCCACGGTTTGATTTCTGGCTGGGCTAATAGCCGTTCCTGCACCGCTATGGAAACACACACCGTCTCATTTGATCACAAACCGCAAATTACAAGTTACTTGTACACGGATCACCGTGTGCTGCTGTTCAGAATGCATATTTTTCACTTAAGTACAAACTGTAAATGCCATTCTGGTTGGAAAAGTGAAGGAAAAATGTTGTGGCAATGGTCTGCAATCCCCCAGACCCAATTAACCCTGTATTGCCAAATGTATCATACTATATTTGATACATACGGTTTCTGAAATGTTTTGCGTCTGACACCTTTTGCATAATTTAATGGTCAAAACTTTGCTCAAAATCCTAATTTACACAATCAGATACACCTGATAACAGGGGGCAGAAGACTACACAAAAAATAATCTTGACTTATCGCATAGTAATAAATTATTAATATTAAAATTTTCTTTTTCTTTTTTCTTTTTACATATTTTGTTAAAAGGCCAATAGAGACTTCAAACCAAAAAAAGTCATTTTCTGTTTTGTTTTATTCTTGGATCAGGCTTTAAAGGGTTAAACCAACTTTATGAAATGGAGAGAATATAATACCGTGTCCAATGGAAAGCAGAAACACTCAAACAATCAGGGACCTAAACATTGATATTTTATGACAGAAATACACAAGTGAAGTTGATCAAATATTAAAGCAGAGGCAGTATAGGACAAAAGAAAAGCTTCTGGGCTAGGAGTTAATGGACAAGAACCGAATTAACGATAGAGTCCCTAATTAAGGCACCAGGACTTCTAGGATCAAAAGAAAAGCAACTTTCACCTGTAGATTTTCTAGACTCTACAATCTACATCTGAGAATGACTGAAGACCAACATCTAACGGGGGTCCAGACTATGAAGACCCTCTCCGCTCAGAAGCTCATACCCCCTAACATGTTGTTTGGAACTGGACAAGCCTTTCGGATAAGAGGTAAAATGTCGTCAAGATCCATGAAGAAGTCCAATTCCGTTTTAGGTCACACATATTATAAGATTAAGACCCCAAGGTGGTGAGTCAAAACCCTTGTCAAGTGAAAACCTTTCAGGTTGTAATCGTGTGGACACTCTTATCTGGACAAATGAGTGTTGTGTTCTTTGATTTGTCGGCTCCTTTTAATGCAACACACCACGAATCCCCCGGAAATACAAGTCGATGGCAATCATCAGGATTATTGATAACCTGATTTGTGTCATCATGTATCCATGTTTGTTCGCTAGCGTTTTAGGCTCACTGCACCATAATCAATACCAAAACAGCTCATCGGTATCTCTTGTCGAAACTCATTTATTGCTACGTTCTGTTTACAGATTGTTTATCAGAACTTTACACCCAAGAACACTGAGAAATCCACGACAATTAACAAAAACAAGACACTGGCTAGGATTTACAGTACAGATCGAACTGATAATCCCAGATTCAGAATGAAGATCTCTTTTGATGACTTCTCCGAACGTGACAGTTGGAAAATGCGGTAAACTTCTCCCAGTTAAGCTTTTTTTTTCTCTGCCCGGGGTCGTCCCGGCCTGTTTTCAGCCGCAGAGGGCCGGTGGGACCCCAGTGAAGGTCAGAGTTTGTCCTCTCCATGACAACGGTCACAATGACGGCGGTGGAAAGAGCGCACTAACGCTAGCACAACCGGCCGGGTTTCCTCAATCAAGTCAGCGGAGTGGACCACCGGCTATTGGTGGTACTTTTGTTCATCCGGCTTGAGACTGAACAATCGGCTCAGATTCTGTCAGAGAGAAACGCTCACAGTGTGTTTGTCACGTCTGGGGGAATGTCTGGTAACTCGTCATGTGTTGATTACCAGTGTTGGGGAGTAACGGATTACATGTAACGACGTTACGTAATTTAATTACAAAAAAAGAGTAACTGTAATTGGTTACAGTTACAATGAGAAAATATGTAATTGAGTTACAGTTACTTCCGAAAATATTAAGAATTACAAATTTAGTTACATTTTTTTAAAAATATTTAAAAAACCTTTGCAAAATATGCAACTCACTGATAGACGAAGCGTATTGATTTACTAATATTTGCCTGTTTGGTGTTGATGCATGACAAACGTTTATCGATGTCAATGACCTAGCCTAGCCTAGACTACCTAGCCTACCCAACTCCTCTTTTTCCCGAACATGTCCTACATTTCAGACTAGGGTTGTCAAAAGTATCGATACTTAAAAAAGTGTAGATACTAAAATTTTGTATCCGGATACGACTGACCTGCTGTCGCTGCGCCCCTTGTGTCCGATTTATTTATGTATTTATTTACGTTGTTTATGATCATTAAAAAGACGTTAGCCTTGAACTGCTAGCTGCGCCCAATAGCTAATAATAACATGCTGAAATTAATCATGGGTTATTACTCATTAAAACCTTAAAGTAATCAAAAAGTAATCAAAAGTAATTAGTTACATTACATTTTAAAAGTAATCGAAAAAGTTACACTACAATTACATTTTAAACAAGGTAACTTGTAACTGTAACGGATTACATTTTTAAAGTAACTTACCCAACACTGTTGATTACCTATTGTGTACACCTGGGGTTCCCCTCCCTCATGTGTTTAAATAGTCCTTGTTTCCCATGTCCTGGGCCAGTTCGTTTGCGTCTTTCGTCTCCCCACGTCATGTAAGGTTTTGGTTATTTCCCATAGCCATGTTTTGCCACAGCCTTGCCACAGTTTTGGTAATCTTTATTTTGTTACTTTGCCATAGCCTTGTTTGACCACTGCCATGTTAATCTCGTTTGTACTTTTGCCACAGTCTTGTTTTGATACTTTGCCACAGTTTTGTTAACCTTGCTTTGTTACTTTGCTCACAGTTTTGCCACAGCCCTGTTTTTGAACCTGTTTTTGTTACAATAAACCCTGTTTTTCTGCATCTCCACGCCTGAGTCCTCCATCAAGATCCACCTTCCTGACAGTGTTCCTCATCTAGCTGTCACTCACTTTGTTTGTCCTCTCTACTGTCTCCCCCCAATGCCACCCCTCCTTTTCCACCTTAGCCCAATACTTCGGTTATATTCCCAACCTAATTTTGGAGGCTGTGGAAGAATTGTTAAAACAATGCGCCAAAATTTTCCTGCAAAACTTTTTTTTCCATGAAATGTATATGTAAAATCACTAATAAATATGATTATCCATTCTTTCTTAGTCTATTTTCCTAATTAAAAAGCAAAACGACATAAAATCTTAACTCATTGACTGCCAGAGTTTTTTGAGCATTTCGACTGATTTTTCAAGAGCCACAGAATAGTTTGTGCTATGACTATGCAAACACCGAACACACCAAAAGAAAGAGCAGACTCTCTTCTTTCATCAGGAAAAAAAAATTGTTTCTACCTTATTCCGTTCTTCCTGGACTTGCGTCTCACCAGCGACATGTTCTCTCATAGAACCGTTACCTTTTTCTTATTTGCCTACAGTCTATGCTCATCTCCCATCAAAAGTGGCACTGCCCCCTAGAGGGTCAATTTATTACTACATACTCTGTCTAGAAGCCTGATATTTACGGACAAGCTTTAGCAGATCGTCCCCCAGACACTCTTGCTGAAAAACATAAAAGACGTCTATAGACTTCTTTGGCAGCCAATGAGTCAATGTGTGTTTTTCTAATTGAATCGTTTCTTCAACAGGGCGTCATGGAAGGCCTTCCTAGGCAAAAGGTTTCCCAGTATCCAATCTCCCTGTGTACACATGGGTTCCGACCAGGTACTTTGGTTTCCTCCCAAAGTCCGAAAACATGCATGCTAAGTTTATTAGTGACTCTAAATTGCCCCTTCCAGTGAATGTAGGTACCCTACCTCTCACCCCACCTTAAAACAAAGTAGCATCTCTTATTTTTGTCACTTGGAGGGAACAAAGTTGCTCTGACTGACAGGAGAGCTGTTAAAACCAACAAACCTTAAGGTCCAGAGCTCGTTCATGTACAGAGATTAAAGTCTTTGGGGGGGGAGGAAACAGCATCTAGGCCACCCCATGCTCTGTGTTG